TTATGATTATAAATTAACTGGGTAATATTATTTGGACACAGTCATTACAGAAGTGGATGAGTTATTTAATCAAAATTATACAAAAAATCAATTAAATAGTATGATATTGTTGTACCGAGAGGGTGATAAGTTGGAAAAATATCATCAATTATACAACTCCGGTCGCTCTAAAGTTCGATCTCATCTTGAAAAAGACGAGATCTATTTGTTTTATAACTGCTAAGGTTAAATAAAACTCAGGTTTGAAGGTAGAAAAAGAACTCAGCGTCAGAGTCTAAAGAAAAGCAAGCAGAGCCCCTAGATCGAAGTGCTCTAGGAGAGTCCGTGAAGGACCGACTTCGACTACCTTGAGATCCGAATAATCCAATATTTAATCAATCAATCAGCGTTCATTCTCTAGGGATAGGGTAAGGAGTATCTTTATTTCATAGAAAGAATGATTTGTACCCGTTTAGGTCGGTTGACCTTCTTCAGGCTTGAGTTGGATGTTGTTACATCCAACTCAAGCACAGCCATAATTACCGGCGTAAAGATCTTCCCGTCTACTTCCTGATGTTGTGGCACCTTTTTCACCTGGAGGAGTTTGTTGGCTTTGGAGAGCCAGAGAATCAGAGAAAAGGGCTTGTTGTGTGTGTTTTGTCCTTTTCAGTTTGTCTTATGTGTGTTTTTGAGCTAGGTACGACAAGGCCGGGTCTCTAGTGACCATTGGTCCTGTACAGTCTCGAGCTTAACCCGTCCCCGTAACCAGTGTATTGCACTGAAATTTCGTGGACGGGTGTGCTCGTGAGTGCTCGGCTTTCGAGAGTCGGCTTGTCGCACTTTGCTCAGTGTGAATGTGTGTGATATTCCAACAGTGACGGACGCTACCATTTCGGTGTTACAGACTCCTCGAACCGTCGAATCGATTCTCCCCGGCCGCCCACAGATCCCGTGTAAAGTAACGGGGGCTGCAGGCGGTCGAGGGTCCCGAGGGTGAGGGTGCATCGGTAGCATAAAAGAGGACCCCTTTCACTGTTGGAATGTGTGAGTTGTGTGTATGTGTGTGTGTGAATGTCTGTGTACTGACTCGGCAGTAGCCCGAACCGTTTCTCTAGTGACCTTTGTTCCTATGCCGTTTATGCGTTCGCAAACAACACGAGACTAGTGTATTGCACTAAAATCCCGCGGTTGTTGTTTGTGTCCGTTAACGGCTAGGCTTCGAGGATTTCGATAGACGGTTCTTGCGGCTGTCGATTCAGGTGAGAAAATAGTTGCGGCTATTTTCTCAGGGACGGACAGGTATCATTTAGTAGTGAGATTGGGAAACCGCAAAAAACCAATCTCCCCCTGTCCGGGGTAGGGAATGGGATGGGTCGATGATTGAGGATGATAATGGGTGGAAGATTGTTTAGGCGATGCGGTAGGCATACGGAGTGGCCTCAAGAATTGCAAAGTAGTCTGCCGGAAGATCATTGATGCATGTTTGCATTAAAATTGAGGGAGGATGAGGGTGTTTGTGTTTGGGAATCCGGGTTATTGTGTGTCCTCTGAAGGAACAGGAACTTTTTAGAGTGTCTTGGGTGTTGTACGGAGGACCGTTGATGGTACTGAGGGTAAAGTTCCTGTTGAGAGGTTTTATCCCATATTTAAAAACAATTTAATATTTATATGAGATTTTCGGACCTCTCGGCCAATACAAACACGAATAAAATGTGAGAAGGCGGACGATGCGCACCAAGGTGCGTGTTAGTTGGTCACTAAAGGCACCAGGGCGACAATATGACAACAAGATGGAGCACCGCCACATAATGTCGTAGCCGTTCAAGAACATTTTAATAATCAATTTAATGTGTGGATCTGACGCATTAGAAAATTTGAGACGAAGATATTACTTGTGCATTGATAACAATGGAGGGCACTTTGAGCATCTATTGTAATCTTAAATGTAGTATTGTATCTTAAATGTAGTATTGTAAGTCATTAATTTTGTTGACTTTCTAAATATATTTTTTTTTATCTTATAGTATCGTATAGTATCCATAGTAGGAGTACCATACGCTCCATACACCATTATAGAACAAAACTAATGCTACACTATGTTAAATATTTGTAATCAGGAAATGCAGGGCTATTCAAAACTCTAAAATAGTACAGGGTGTCCTATTTGAAATATTGAAGATGCATTTTATTGGGCACTCCCCAACTTTTGGTCTGTTGCTACACTGTTACTGCTACACGGGTAAAATAATACAACTTTTGTTTGAAACTTTTTGTTGTATTCCTGACATTAAGGAAAATAAGTGGGGGGTCAAAATATAATGAGAAACCCTGTACATCCATATCGTAAAGTTGATAATAAACGAGATAATTCAAGAATTATGTTTCCCCTCTTCCACTATTTTCCCTCTTAATACGGAAAATTTCGACCGCACGAAAAATTTGCAAAAATGAAATTGTTGGCAAATGCAATTTACTTATAGTTTTGTCGAGAAGTTGAAAATAGCAAAGAAATTGTGGAGACCTTTAAATGTTGAGATGGCGAAAAATGTAACGGTTCGATTCAGTCGCGATTTTTGGTGCTGCGGCACTAAAAATCGATTTTTGTTCAAAATTTATATATATTTATATATATTTTAAGTCCAAATGTATTTTTTTAAAATCTTTTAAGTCGGTCGAAAAGTATTAATAACAAATAACTTATAACACGGAGAGGACTGCAAAATCTCAGACTATAAAACTGTTTAAAGATATGTCTAAATAAAATATGGTTCCTTAACTTTTGAGTCCAGTTCTGTAAGTGCAATAATGTGTTTCGCCGTATTTAAAACGGTTTATGAACGCTATGACGTTTTCCTTTTTTGCAAGGAATGTATCACCTGTTGTATTACATCCACGTCTCTCTTTAGGTAATACACCACATTTTATAAACTGATTACTTATATTGGTAACCCTACATCGTGACACATCACCCAAAACTTTTAAAAATGTTAATAAGAAAGTAAATTTTACTTACCATCTCATAAATATCTTACCTTGTTCACAAGGGCATTCCTTGCCACACTTACAACCTGAGTCGCATTTGCAAGACGTTTGGCAGCAGTCTTCTAAAAGAAAACAGATTTTAAATAGTATTTACAAATATTATAATTGGTATATCTCGTCTAATTTGCCATCCTATTGCACGCATTTCGGCCTCTTGCCTTAATCAGAGAGGACTTGCAAATATGATATAAAAAATACCTTTGTTTGTATCTCGATGGTTGGGAAGAACAACTTTTTAGCTAGTATGATAGACGCGCAATCAAAATAAATCATATAAAAGCAAATATATTTAATAAAAAATCAAATTCAATAACTTTTTCTGTGAATTATCTTTCTATTAAATTCACTAGATGGACTCGATCTATGGACGGTGGAGCTAGTCTTCCCGTCTTCTATGCAAGTCACTTTGTAATAGAGCAAAAGTAAAAAATATGTATAAGGAATTGGCAAATTTGACGAGATATGAATATTTCAACTCGCATTCTGTAAGATTTTTTTCGTTGCGCCACTTCTGTGCGTGTGTTAATGTCATTAATTTTTTATATGTATTAGCTTATGTCATATATCTCTTCGCACCACGAAATAATCTGAAGCACCGTGAAAATATATAACACAAATATATACAAAGTAGTTACCTACCCTCAGAATTGAGGATGGCACATTAAGAAGTAGATATGTCACTTAAAAATCTTTTAGTTATCTACAAAACCGTATCAATAATTAAAGTGATTCAACTTTTCTGTGTCGCATATTTATATTTTCACAATTTGAATCGGCCATCGGATGAGAAACTCATCTATGAACCCAATGGATCAGCCATACTCACTACGCGCCCCGTGGACCAGATGCGGCACTCTGAGCGATTTTTCGCGGCTCTCAGACTGCTAGGCAGTAAACCAAAATTTGCGAGTTATAATATAATTATGTTTCTATTTATGTATATATCAATCAGATTACATGATTACAGTAGTGTAGAGCGGCGCCATGCACTGTACCGCATTTCGCATTAGTCATCTTTACCCCTATCACAGTGGCACTGGCCGGCCAGTAAAGATGTTTTAAAACCTTGTGGACCTCGTAAATATGCATGCCCGAAAAAACAAATGGTCCCTAAAAACATTTACCATTTTAATTTCATAGGAAATTAGGCGACAGGGTAGGATTTGCACGTGATAATGATGTCGAGTATTTCCAATAAACATGACATAATATTATGTTTCTCTAATCTTAAACCTTTCAGTTAGTCATCGTATTTTTATTTTATCTCTCATTTAAAGATGTAATAAAAATTTACGACTTCCCGTCTCGGATTTTTCTGTGTGTACTGATGGTTGCCCATCAATGTTGAGGCGAAATATAGGGTTTGTTCAGCCGTTGAAAAAACATTTGGGAAATAATAATTTATTAAGTTTCCATTGTATCATTTATCCAGAAAGTTTAGCTGCTAAATTTGGGAAAATTTCAGATGTGTTATGAAAACACTGGTAAAGATTGTGAAAGTTATAAGATCAAATGAACTAAACCACAGAGAAAAAAAATCAAACGATTTCTACCTGTTGAAATCAAGGAGACCTAAAGAGGTCGAAATATGTATAAGCAGCTTCTTGCTGCTCTGTATCGAAACAAAAATCTAGTACCGTCATTATGTTTTAAACCACAGAGAGTTTCAAGAATTTTTGAAAGAACTTATTTGAAAAGAATATGGGGACATTATTTACCACACAGAAGTGAGATGCTAAGTAAGGGTAAATTTTTGGAACGTTTCTTCAGCATTCAACATGAGATTAGTCTGTTTTTGGTTAGGTACAAAGAATAAAGATTTTCCTGATATTCATAATTTTAGTTGGTGGCTTAAAGTAGCGTTTCTCACTTATACAATGAGCATTATGAATGAAACATTGACCAAATTGCAAGGAGACTACAATACCATTGTAACGAAAATGATGAGTATTGTGTTTTCACTGGAGCAGTAGCTGAATATGTATATTGAAGAATTGTCAAATGAAAATTATGCCAGCTTTCCTTCCGTTAAAGCACTGTTTGATGAAAATCCAGATAAAAGTCAAGAGATTTCTGACCTAGTGAAGCTGTTAGCAGACCTAAATGATGAAAAATTTGTGAGGTTTAGTGACTTCAGAAAGTTAGTAGAACCATTTCACTTGGTGGAAAATCCATGGGCAATAACAACAGCAAATGTAGCTCATCTTGCTATTTTTGATACGAAGCTAGGGATTTGAAAAATGAGTTAATTGATCTTCAGAATGATACAGAGCTCAAAAGTATTTTTGAGGAAAAAGCTCACTATAAGTTTTGGGAAGCAATTTGAAAATTACAAATTTCCTAACTTAATTGACTGTGCTCAGAAAATTTTGTGTATTTTTTCATCTACGTATGTCTGTGAATCTACATTCAGTAAGATGAAGTTCATAAAAAGCAAGTACAGATCTAGGCTAACTAGTGAGAACGTTGAAAACATTTTGAGATTTCAGTTTCTTCCCAACCTGCTAACATAGATGTCATTCTAGAGAGCTGTGAAAGATTTTGCCCGTCGACTTCAAAGAATTAACAAATTCAGGACTTGACATTCTGGAGTCAAGTAAAAGACATTTTCCTACTTTATACATGCAAAACAGTCCATATATAATAATTTATAATTATATTATTTTTATGTAACTTGTAAAAAACTAATATTATAGTCATAAGTATATTTATAAAGTTATTTCATACTACCACTTGTATTTGCGGCTATGAGGAAAATTTCAATCAAACTATTAGGCTCTTTAAGAAATTCTAGTGAGTATACTGCAATAGATGATAGTTCTGTGATTCTGGCCATGCGATGGTATATCTCCTAAGTCCAAACAGGAGATACCGCTGTCATTTCCTACGACTTATGTCGAAACAGTATACTGAGGCAATACATATAACTGATGACCGCGACCAGTGGAGAAATATTATCAATCAAACTGTCCGAGCTGCTGAAGCCCAATTATGAACCACAACACATCTACTAAGATGTTAATGACTGTGATGATGATGATGTCGATACAGTTTATTACTATATATATTACAGTCAAGACTTACAGTTTATTATTAAAATTTCCAACCAATGGGGTATAAAAGAAACCACACCTTTATTTCACCCACGAAAGTTTATGGTATGAGCAATAGCTTCTAGGCTCCGAATGGTGAGCTTCGCCATCCGTATGGCATTTAATGCATCTTCTCGTGTGGAAAGGAATGTGCGAAAGTTATCGTGCACGTATACGTGACTTATCAGGCTCTACGTGCGAAATGTGCTACTGGTAAAGAACAGAAGCTTAATAACCGCAAACCACACAACATATCTATATGAAATGTCCGTTGTCATTTACAACCGGGCAAACAAACTCTTATAAGGATAAGGAACTGGAACGAACCAATATTTCTGTGACCGGTTTCTCTGAATTTCACTTTCGTAACGAGGGGCACTATCCAACTAATTTGGGACATTTGATGTGTTTCTTTGGCAAGAATAACAAAAAGTATTAGTGGGTTAGGTTTTGGGTTTTAAAATCTCTTTCTTCTATGCTTATGGAGTTATCAGTGATCGTATCATTTCCTTAAGACTAAAAAATAAAATAGAATAGAAAATGTTCCCCCTTTATTATTAATTTGGTTCAAGTATATGCACCAAATAAAGAAATCGCTATCAACACGAGCGTTTTGAACTCAAAAATCGGTGTTACTATGGCTGACGAACATATGAAAAATTTTTTGGGCAGGTATGGAATGGGTGAACGTAATTCAAGGGGAGATCGCCTTATCCAGTTCTGCGTTGACAATTATTTAGCAATAATGAACTTCATATTAGAAAATATGTATATATCTTATATATGTACACGCATCATCCCAAGAAGTTACACACTTGGATCTCACCTAATGGACGACACCGAAATCAAATCGATTACATAATAATTAAACATTGTTGGAAAATATCTATTAGCCACTGTAAAACAAGACCACTGCAGCACTGATCATTAACTTATTTTTGCTTAACACTAAATCCAAAGCGTGGGCTAGGATCCGAAACAAGATGGTGTAACAACAATTTAAAAGCTCATGTAATGAAATATTTGGGATGCAAGGGATAGTGATGAGCAACGTATAGCCTCTCCTATTCAAATGTTAACCTCGCCTGCCCGCGTGATGATCTTGATTATGGTCATCCGGTGCATCCTGCTAGATAACAAATAAGGCTCTGACGTCAGAGTGATTGCCGGTATAAGCAATCTCCTACTTACTGACCAACGATTTATGGCGGATAAGTTAGTGAGTGGTAGGGCATTTTTTTGTCCCGGGGTTGAGAAATCGACGGATAAATCAACAAATAATGGTCAACGGCATAAAAATGCAGAAGGCAAAGGGGAACCACTGCATTAACGGCTCACATGGCACTTCCAGGAAAATCATAGAATTGACACTGCAATTGCAAACTGTTACTAATCATGGACAGCGAAGGCCAAGATTCGGCAGGAGATGAGAAACATATTTATATCACTAGGCCTCTCAGGTCGTAAACATGCGAAAACCTCGTGAAGAAATCCTAAAAATAAAGAAATCTAATTTTAAAATGTGTACATGGAATGTTAGAAGTCTATTTGCGACTGGAAAACTTGACAACGCAATTCAAGAAATGGAAAGAATGAAAATAGATCTACTGGGAATCAGCGAAATAAGATGGCCAGAGTCAGGATCATGTAAAAAGAACGGAAGTGTATTATATTATTCCATATTCCTGTTTATATAACAGCATAGACGACCCGCATCACAAAAATGGTGTAGGTATATTAGTAACATCAGAACTGATTAAATATGTGACCAATTTCGTACCAGTCTCGGAGAATAGAATAATATTACTCCAAATAAATACTAAACCATTCAAAACTAACATACTTCAAATCTATGCCACAACTGCAGATATAAAATATAACGATAAAGTCGAGAAGTTGTATGATCAGATCCAAGACATCTTCTTCTTCTTCTTCTCGTGCCACTCCTAGCGGAGATTGGAAATCATCATGGCCACTGCGACTTTGTTAGCAGCGCGCCTAAAAAGTTCAATCGAACTACACCCGAACAATTTACTAGATTACGAAGCCACGATATTTTTCTTCTTCACACACTTCTTTTGCCCTTAATTTTGCCCTGCATGATGTTTCTTAAAATCTTTCTAGTTTTTATCTCATTTAGAATTTCGCATCTTTTGTCTAAAGTTTGAAGTACTTGCGTGTTAGTGTTAGTGAGACATCTTACAGATACTTAATAAACACGAAATTTTATATATTATAGGCGACTTCAATGCAAACATTGGGGAAGGTCGACGAGGTCAGACTGTAGGTCCTTATGGTTTAGGACAACCTAACGATCGACGACAGAGATTGCTCAAAGCTACATTTAATGATGCCAATAACCCTAAGTCTTCAATAAATCAAATAGACTATATACTTGTAAATGAACGTTTCCTAAATGCCATCAAAAAGTCACTACATTTCCTGGGGCAGATATTGGATCTGATCATCAACCACTTGTAGCAGATATTAAACTAAGGTTAAAACGAATTCAGCGACAAAAACCAAAAATCAATGTACTTAACTTTGACGATATAAACATAAAATATACCACTAAAAAAGAATTTAACAATAGAATAAAAAATATTAGAGAACAACTAGAAGATCCAAAAGAACTATGGAGTGAATTAAAAAACCAAGTTAACGAAATCTCCACAAAAAGTGATTATAGGAAAAACTTAATCAAGAAAAATAAGTGGATGACAGACGACATCTTGAAATTAATGGAACAACGTCGAATGATAAAATATAATGAAACAGAATATAGACACCTGCAGAGAAAAATAAAAAAGAAGATTTAGCCAAAGAAAAATGGATAAGAGAAAGGTGCGACGAAATGGAGGATGTAATATCTAAACACGACTTATTTAATGTACACAAAAAACTAAAAGAAATGAGTAATATATTTAAAAAAACGTATTCCCTCTGTACTCCTTGACAATAATAACAAAATTATTGTAAATGAGCACGAAATAAGAAAATAATGGCAGCTGTATATCAAAATTGTATACCAAACTGTACTGACGGCCCAGAAATTATGAAATGCGAGGTAAAACACGCTATAAATAATGCTAAAATTAGAAAATCTTGTGGTTCAGATGATACAGCAACTGAGTTGCTGAAACTAATATAGAATGATAACATAAAAGTAGTAGTAAGACTTTTTAGTTCAATATATAACACCGGAATGATTCGATTGATTGGCTCAAATCCAGCTTTGTCGCAATACCTAAAAAACACAATGCGAGAATTCTCAGAATATTAATTAATTAGCCTAATGAGCCACACTTTTAAAATGTTCCTAAGAATACTTCACAACAGAATTAGACGCAAATGTGAAGAAGATCTTGAAGATACCCAATTTGGTTTTAGAAACACTATGGGAACCAGGGAGGCACTTTTTGCGCTTAACATCCTATTACAAAAATGCCGTGACCAAAGAAAAGATGTATTTGCATGTTTCGTGGACTTCGAAAAGGCATTCGATAAAGTACAACATGTAAAATTAATCTAAATACTGAAAAATATCGAAATAGATGACAAGGATATTCGTGTAATTAAAAATTTGTACTGAACTTAAGAACTGTAAAAATTGGAGATAACTACACCGATGAAATCTCTATACAACGAGAAGTCAGACAAGGTTGCGTTTTGTCGCCAAAAATGTTCAATGTTTACTCCTAGCAGTTATTTAAAAAGGCACTTGAGAGGCAACCACATGGAATAAAAATCAACGGGGAACTACTTAATGTGATTAGATATGCAGACGATACAGTGATTTTGTCAGAAAACATTGAAGGAGAGGAAATGGGCATTAAAATAAACTCAAACAAAACCAAATTTTTAATGTTTAGTCGTGACCCACATCCCGATGCAAAGCTTCAATTAAACGGAGTCCAAATTGAGAAAATTCGGAAAATTACATATTTGGGAACTATGATAATGGACTAACTAGATCCAGACATAGAAAGAAAACGTAGAATAGCAATGACTAAAACTACTTTTATGAAAATGAAGTCATTTCTTTGCAGGAACCATCTCAGTTTAGAACTAAGACAAAGAATGGTTAAGTGCTATGTTTGGTCCGTACTTTTGTACATTGCAGAAGCGTGGACGCTAAAAGTATC